TTTTTTTTTCTTTGAGAAAAGGCGCTGCGGAAATTCTTTTCGATCCACTTTTTGCTATTTCATAACCTCGCAAAAATCTTTTCAAAGTTGTTTTCAATTTTATCCCATTTACAAAAACTTTCTGATCATTTATGAATAAAAAGAAGTCTGTACAATATTCTGCTCCTCCCCAGCCCTGTCCTTTGATAACCAATGTAATCTTATTGCAATGTTTGTTAATATTCAGGACGATGTTGTGAATTTGGGTACTGCCGAGTTGGAAGCAATGACAATAGCGAGAAGAAGAGCGTTGGGAAAGGGTTTGACCGTTTCGCCTACGAAGAAGGTATCGGTGTTAGAATTCGGAATCCTGACCATCTCTTAAAATTCCATGAAATGCCATTTTTAGGTGAAAAAGTCGATCAGTATGCGAGAAGATGAGCCATTCTATACTCAACAAAGCCCTCATCATCATATTAGAATGCGTCGTAGCCCCGAAGGGGGCCCGTCGGCTTACATAGCCGCTCGAATTGAGGCAGATGAAATGAGGAAAATGTACTCGGCAGATCGGCCCTTTGCTGTTGGTGATGACAAGGTTTGTGAGGTTATGTAAACATTAAAAATTGCATGCCTGTTCCCTTTTTTCTACCTTCTGTTCCCCATATGTCTTACGGTAGCGGTTCTAGCTGGGAGCTCTGGGCAACTATTACCCCTACTTTGTAGAAGGTTTTACAAAACAAAAAATTGTTCTTATTTTATGTTAGATGGAAGCAAAAGCTGCAGCTTGGTTGTCTTTCTTTTGTCATTAAACAAAAAATGACTTTTTTCTTGTCATTCTTGATTAATTATCCACCCACTGCATCAAAAAAATTCCTTTGAAGAAGACAGATGATTGATTACGCCTAACCATTTGTTCTCAATGAAAAATCCTCAAAAGAGTGGGCAGGAATTACTGTGTCCCTTGAAAGCAACAATTTTGTGAGTTCGCCATAAAATCGGAAGCTGTATTCTGAAACCTTAGAGATGAGTCCATTTTTTTGGACTGAATTTAGTCTTTGCAAAACTGCAGGAAGGTGGAACATTTTGTACATTAAAAAGAACTAACACTCAACAGAATGTTGTTTAAACATTTTTTATAAGATTTTTTGGGATATGTTCTCTGTCGTAGCACTTCACAGCGCTGCTGACACGTCTTAAGAAAGGTTAGATACTAGAGTTAGGTATCGTCTAAAGCCAAGAAATTATTTGCTAAAGCACATCCTAATGCTATTGATTGCTATAGAATGCTTGTTCATGTGTTATATGGAAAGCACAGGGTTTCAAATTTGCTAAATTTAAATTGGCAGATCTATGTAAGAGGACTCAATCTATGATTTTATGTTATCATATTCGGATATAACAATACTTTTTGAACGTTAGATTACTCTCCCAAAATTATCTCTCCTGCAACATTTTTTCTGCAAGTCGTTCGAGCTTGAGAAAATTGTTGAGAAGTTAAGCATACACAACTGTCTAAGTAAGCTGAAGTACAAATATCTCACCGGCTAATACCCTAATCTGACTCTTGTTCGGAGGCGTTCGCCGGGACTGGCATTGCTTTAAATTTCCAATGTGCTCAGCTCAATAAATTTGAATAGGTATACCGTGTAGTGATTTATTCAAAATCTCTATTCAACGAATTACCCATTTCACATGCTCTTTGTTCGTTTTCTTTTCTGATTTTTTTCTCGTACTTTTTGATTGAAGGAACCCAATACTGTCAAAAATATCCTCTTTTCTGACTAACGCCTGGTTGTTGCGATCATTTACATCCGCACGACGACATCGTCGTCGAGCCATATCAGATTTGTTTTTCCTAAATCCTTTACGCCCGACTAATTGCCTCGACCCGGCTGCGAAGCGATGAGATTGCCCTCGTAGCTGTTTCCCGCATTCATCGTAGAGCCTTCGTGTCTTCTTTCTTCATAACTTAGGCGATACTCTACTCAATTCTGCTGATTTCAGATCTATAATGGTTTCAACAACTTCCCGTTAGAACCGAATACGAGGTATCGTCTCATGATGCGTTCGTTTGCCAAGGCCGATGGAAGACGAAAGGATGAGGTGAGCAGTTTTTTCCCGTGCCCTCATTTCTCAGAACTCTTGGGGTCGTGTGGAAGTTTGAAATATGAGAAGTTTAGTTCGATAAGCGAGCTCCGATGGGTGAGAAGCTGACTCGGCTCTACTCCGACTCGGCCCTAACCGAACCGTTTACCACCCGGGCTGCCCTCAGAGCTGGTGCTAAACCGGGCGGTTTCTGGCTGATTGGACCGCTTATTGCATTGCTTATCATTGCGATTCTGATAGGAATGTTGGTCTGCTGGTAAGTTTTGAGTTTAATCCGAGTTTGGAAACTCTAACTTCCTAAGGAGTCACATTTATAGGTGGTTACGATGCAATAAGAAGTCCGCTGGTAGAGGACACCGCCATGGATCCATCACAAAAGTCGCGCTTACCGGAAATATCATGAATGGCATACCCGGCGAGACAAGCAAATTGCTTTCGACTGATACTTATGGCCGAAGTGTGATGAATCCTTACGAGCAGGTAGATTGAAATTTTTCCTACTCTCATTAAAGCCATCATATTTTTTGTATTCAGATGAATGGACATGGTAACGGACACATGGAATCATCGGTAGACCTTTACCCATTGCCGCGAAGTCAATCTCGTGCTGGTACAGCAAATTATGCACCGGTGCCGGTTGCCATGCCATGTCTTCCGTCAGGTGGAACCATGCTCGGTAAGAATTTGCTGATGACAAGTTGAGTAGAAATGGAATGTGACAGCTAGCGAAGAGTTGTGCTGCATTGCGGAGGAATTTAATTCTTTTAACAGTGGAAGGGTTTTTAGTCAAAATGGCCTTATCAAATGAGCTACACTTGCAGAGCACTGAATAGTGATTTTATTGTTTGCCAAGCTCATCTAAGTTCTGGAATTTTTTCTTGAGCTAAAAGTGAACGCGAGTTTGGGTGAAATCATTTATTAAGCTCCTTCTAGCTCTCAAATAGAAAGTGTTGTGTCAATTAGTGTTCACGTAGAAGGGTGACTTCGACTCAAAACATTTTAAAGTCTGAAAATTGGAATGTTATTAACAATTCTACTTTTTTGTGAAAGTCTTGCATTTTTTGGTTTGAAGGATTACCAGGGTTCCCTCTTCTTCTAGAATAAAGTTGATGTCAATCTATACAATTTGTGTTGGGCATGGTCATGATTTTCTGGAGATGAATCTGAATTCGCATTTCGTCCAAAGAAAAAAAAACTTTTCGACAGCTTTTCTGGTCGAGTGCAAAATTCTTCCAGTCAAAATTCTTCCACGCTTGAAAAAAAAA